ATCCGTAAGGTATGTCAAATCGATTCTCTAGTTTAGGTAGCAGAGGAATTTACATCGACTTGTTTTCCCTTTGGCTGATTGATCTGAAATTTTAAATATAATAACACAGTACTATACAGAATCAGCTGTCATTTTTTGAGCTATCGAAAATGTATTTTGCATTATCAACTAACCGACAACGGATGAGTTTTGTTTACCCCTCTGTAATTTTAAGTGTCCGCTGCTCTCCTTTTGCCACTTTCGATGTATCTAATTTTCCAGTAGTAATTTTAGTAAAATGCTCGAAATGGAGTTGTATAGCCTTAACTAAGTTGGTAGTTTATATTGTATATGCATTTAAGCTTCTTATATTGCTGTAAGATAAATAGTTTTTCATTCATGTGAAATGGATCATCTCCATAGCTTTTTCACTACAATATTGTATACATCGGTGAACTACAAGAAATTGATTAGATTTAAACCTATTTTCAATACAAAGACTGGCTTTTATATAATACTGACCTGTTTAAATATCTTCCTGGACCTGTTTATTCTATTGGAAAATGACCACTCATAAAGAAGGAGAATCGTTATTTTCTATAAAAAATACTTAAAAATGTTCGTAATGTTTGAAGAACTTAAAATGTTTTTTGTAGAGTATTTGCGCACATATCAATTTATACCAATTGATCAATTTAATATTAAAATCTCGTACTTTTAAAAATAATTTATTCTGGCGTTCAATTAATTTCGACTATTTTATTATTTTAAAAAAAGTTCCACATACTGTAGTATATCATTTAATCCATAATTTATTCATAGTGCTGATACTTTTATATGTTACAATGTAAAATGGTTTTTCTTTATATCTGCCTGTACTTTAGGCTCTATTTAAACTAATTTCAATTGATTGTCAGAGTATCCAACTCGGTCAGAGTAACTAAATTTACGAGGTTCAAGGTTAAGTTATCTATTTCAAATTTGCATATGAACTGTTTTTAAATTACCTCATCACACAAATCACAACGACAAATTTATGTCAAATGTGCGAGTTGATTAAAAAATTGCATTTACCACATCACATACATATTAACAGCATAACGAGCACTATATTTGCTCACATCCCTTCCCTTGCGAAACAAAAACAGTTTTAGAATTTTGCATGCTAATTTACGTGCACATAAAATAGAAATACCCGTAGAAATGAGATGATTTCAATATAAAAAACTAAAATAAGATTGTTTTACTGATATTTTGGACAATTCCGAAATGAAACTAATTCATTTTTTTAGGTGGCCCTGATAACTATTGACGGATTTCGGACTAATGCAAACATTTTTATGTGCTTAAAAATTATACCCGCCTTTTCTAGGTTCATAGCTGGTACTTCTATAAGTTCATCACTCCACCAAATACACAATCTTCTCTTATGTTTCATTCTCTCTCGTTCTCAACCATATCTTTTACTGCAGGATCGTCATATAGCCTTACGACATGACTTAATCAACGAAGCTGATTTATGTTTATTCACTGAATAATATCAGTATCGAATCTTCTCTCTTAAGTAATTTTAATGTTCTTCCATAGTTTTTTAACATCAATGTGCTACTACATAGTGTAGCAGACCATGTAGTAGCACCGATCAGAGCAGCGAAATATATAAGGTTTAAGTTTGACCATCGAAAAGAGTTTCCCATCACACATACCTATTTAATATCGTAGTTATTTTTCGTCGATTATCTACATTGACATCGTTGTTGGTATTTACGGGGCTGCCTTAATAGGTTTGAAAGCATAATATCCAGCGATCATCCAAAGTCATGCGTGTTTAGTAATTTGATCATAATACTTATTAATTTTATACCGAGTGTATAAGCAGAAGAACTTAAGTATAAGTAATTCGTTTGAACCAAGATCTTCTACATAATTCTATGTTTAAATTGAGAATTGGGTCATCAGATTGTTATATTTCCGATGTTTTTCCTAACAAAGTTACAATCACTTCCAATCGTGTAAAATATACCGTCTACTGTAAGCTAGTGTGACCTCACATAATTAGAATTACATATTTCTTTTATTTTTTCATAAATGAGCTAGCATGATTTTCAAATCGGACCTCTAATACTAATATTTTTCGTATACAAATTCCGGCGGCAAGATCTTTTTTTGTAGAGAATAGATCCAGCCAGAGAATAATATTGAAGGTAATATCCCATAGTTTCTGTCAAGATAATGATTTATATATGAATAATAAAAAAAATGACGGAATAGTTAGTTAGTTGTAGTTGAAGAAGGACGAGTCCTCCTCAATTAGGTAAAAAGCCGTTTTGAATCCGCAAAAACCTCATAAAAGTGGTAGTAGAGAGAAGATCAAACTAAAACCAGCCAGAGGCATTTACAAAGTCAAGAATCTAACTAATGTTAATACTGGAGATATCGCCAAGTGAATTGAAGAAGGGGGCTCGTAGTAGAAGACAGACTAAGTGAGAATGATTTGACAGAATTTATATATAAATTGATTATTTTATTACAAAACCTTTTTTCTTTTGAATTCACGAATATTATACTGTCAAACCGAATAATATTAACAAATTACTTGACGTAAAAGTACACTTACGAGTATTATTTTTAACATTAAAAATGCTTACACAGAGATTTTTCTATAGTCATATTTTTTAAAATTATTTAACGCATTTTTAATGCTGTTAGCTAGCACTTTTTTCAAATATTGATTTTTTTTCATTATTGATGCATCTAACTTAAACTTTTGCTATTACCTACATTTTTTCTGATTTTTAAGGCTGATAGTTAACACTTTTGTTGTTATAATATATATATAAATATATATATATGTAAATATTGGAGTTATAGGAAGTAGTAATTAAATATGCATAACCAAAATGAACGGACAAATAAAAATTAACTATTAATAGAAGTGTTTTTTTTTTAATTTTAGTTTAATAAAAAAGTGTAAATTAATTTAAAGTAAATATGTTAAGCGCACTTTCTAATGATATAACAATTTAATAAGGTAACAAAGGTATTATAAGAGTATATGTTAATTTCAGAATTAGTTGTTCTGAATTGATGTGTCCCCAAAAAAATCATTTTTAAACTTCTAATGCAGATTCAAATCAGTAACACATCTCACTTGATTGTAAAAAAAAACTTTTAATTAAATTTTTTAATACGTACTGGCGAAGCATTGACAAATCGAAATGGTTAGAAAACAATTCCAAACAAAGTTTTTTATTAAACTCGCAGTGGAACCCGCTTTTCATAGCAGATAAGTTCACTTATATTAAATACGCGCTTATGAGTATATCCCAATTAGAATAGAACTTGCGAATCTTCTCAGAAGACGGAGCACGCTTTTCAATCCATTTTGTACTGAGCGTGAGCTAAATTATCAAAAGATCGCTGTGCGAGATATTTGCGGCATGCGTTAGTGGCAGTTGTAGTCGTTAAATGATGCACCATAAAAGCATAGCCATAGCAGCCTAAGTTGAACCGCAAAACACAGAACACAAAAATAACTATAATAATAATAGCAAAAACAACAACAACAACAACCACACCAAGCACAAGCATAAGTTTTATTAAACACAGAGGAGCTCAGAAGTCGTTATCTGTCTTTATGACTGTCAGTTCATGTTTTGTGGATTTTACAACAAACTGTCGTCCATTTGTTTGCCACTTTCTCAATTTTTCTGTACCATTGATTCATAAATTTATTTTGTTATTTATTTATTTATTTATTTATTCATATGAGTACATCCATTGCGCAGTGATTTCTGCCGTTTGATTCTGTAGGTCGGAGCACTTAAATTTTTCAGTACGGTATGCGCGCGCGATAAAAGCGCCCGTCACGGCACAGTCGAGCAGCCAACATTAATCTAAAATATTTTGTATTCGTTACTCTTTCATCAAGGCAATTTTAACAAATTGCCTTCAATTAAGTTTTTAAATAATCCGTACTACAGTGACGTCACAACGTATTTATTACACATTCATCAGATGCATAAATCCCTATCTTAGTGATGAGTCGAAATACGCGATTAGACTCTGTTAAAATTTTACAAACGCGCTCATATCCTTTACCTCGAGTACACAACTCTGTTGGTCACCATGCACAACGCATAGGTAGCAAAAAGAAATTGGGTCTAGGAGTTAATGAGCATACTGGACGCGTACAGTGGTGTCCTGGATTTACATGTTGTAAATTTTTTATTATACTTCCAGTTGTGATGCTACCAATAACTCTAATGTTAATACTTGTAATGCGTATGGACAACATGCTGTTGGCGCTACATTTGCAAAAGAAAGAAATCCGTGATCAACCTATCTATATGGACTATTATGACAATGCTTTGTTTGATTCAGTCAACGATATTGTTACCGAAAGAATAACCCCACCCTTTGAACCACCTGGTATACTAGATGAAGAACGCTTAAAACGTTGTCTCTCACTAAAATTTGGATTAAGTGAAACAATCGATATCGAAGATCGTGACATAATGAAAGACGCACGCACTTCATTTTTACCTAAAGATACGACAGCCATACCACGAGAATGTTTCGAAACATTTAATATCGGAAACAGCTTTCGTGATCTTGATTACGAGGACCCTTATGATGTGTCGAGAACAAGGTCACGTCGTACATTATCAGGTAAAAAATACGTAAATTAAAATAATTTATTTTAATTTTTTTTGATTGGCTTAATTGCTTCTATAATTTTCACTATTGGCCTGAAAATATTGTCTGAAAATGAATTTTTGAAAATGAACAAACTTTTATAAAAAAATAGAGTTTACTGATTTAATAATATATAATTTTTATTATATATTGTTATCTTCTTGTTATTAAAATTGAATTTTTAATTACTTTTAATTATAAATTTTCTTTTTTTAACCATTTACGTTTTTCATTAATAGTTAACTAGAGAATTTAATTTTTTATTGTTAATTAATATTAAAATTAATTAAGGAAATGAGATAATTATATTTAAATTTAAATTTAAACTTAAAAAAAATTATTTTAGGTTGTATTTTTATTATTTGCATTTTTTTTTAATTTAAATACTACCTTGGATTTATTTTTCTGCTATCCATACAATGTGGAACAAATTTTATGTATTTTAAAATATATCGAAGGATATATAGATGTATATATATATATATATATATATAGATATATAGGATAGAATAGCATATTAGCATTTTCATTGTTATACTAATATAGATTTTATTTTTATACTTAACATTGTAGTAGCTAAAGCTGATAGCAGCACTTCTGAATCAGATAGCGACTACTACTTCGATCCATTTAGCAACGAAGATGAAGCGAGTATAATAGAGCAGACATCATCATTACAATCCTTCTGGAACGAGCAAGGTACAAAAGATAGCATACGTATGACTCAAGCAAATACAATGAAACGCTATATGGATACTTCAGTTGACCCGTGTAATGACTTCTACAAATATGCTTGTGGCAATTGGGAGAAATTACATCCGATACCTAAAGACAAGGCTGGTTTTGATACTTTTGAAATGTTACGAGAAAGTTTAGATGCAGTTTTAAAGCTTTTACTGGAGGCCAATGATGAAAGTTTAAATAACAATAAACAGAAACACAAA